ATACTATGTATATGTTTATATATTTTGTATATAATATATACTATACTATAACATATAACATACTATAATATGTAACATAACGTGTGTGTTATGCATATAATATATAATATATATTATATATTATATATATATATATATAGAGAGAGAGAGAGAGAGAGAGAATGATTCTTATTTGTTACCTTTTAACATAGGTTTTTTTTTTTTTTTTTTGATTCTCTATTCTTAAAAGCCTTTTATGTTTTCTTTCCAATATTGCTTTGGGTCCAGATCATCTGAGAATGGCATATAGAAGTCATTTGTTACAGGCATGAGAGTGTGAGAAGTGACAAGCAAGTGGCAATAAAGAGGGTTTTCTGCGTGGGGTCAGTTTTTAATTTCTCATTGAGATTTTACAATAGCTCAAAAGAGATGCCTGTTTCAGGCCACGTATGATGGCTCACACCTGTGGTCTCAGAACTTTGGGAGCCAAGATGGGAGAATCACTTGAGCCTAAGGGGTTGACATCAGCCTGGACAGCATAGGCAGACCCTACTTCTATGAAAAAAAAGTTAGCCAAGATTGGTGGTGCACACCTGTAATCATAGCTACTTGGGAGGCTAAGATAGATGGATTGCTTGGGCCTGGGAGGTCAGAGCTGCAGTGAGCTATAATCATACTACTGCACACCAGCCTGGATGACAGAACAAGACCTTGTCTCTGAAATAAAGAAAAGTGTCTGTTTTCAATAGATGATAATTTATGAGGTATTGGAAGCGAAGATTCTGGTATGGAGGGATGGACTATCCCAGTGGAACACAATGAAAAGTATACTCTGTTCTTGTCAATAAGAAAGAAAGTTGCTTCTACCTATGTTATGATATTAGCACTTAAATATTCTATGCATATTGAGAATTTTGAGAGTATTATGAGAGTATTATAGGTGAGTTATGATTTTAAAAAAATTATGGAAAGAAAGCATCAATTGTTAGCCCTTTGACATTTTAACCTTTCTAGGAAAGAAATGTTTTGTTTTGAGGACAGCCTTGTAAAAATACTTTTAGATTGGCGGGTAGGGGTGAGTTGGGGTGTGGACACAAACAAATACAGCACTTGACATTTAAGGCTGTGATTTTTAGAATATTGATATTTAGTGACTCTTGATGCTTAAATTTCTTGTAGAGATAATAATGGAATTAGTTTTTAAAACTTGCCTCATGTATAAGAGAACGTTTAGGAATCTCTTTATAGGGAAATATAAAGCATTAATTTAATTACTTGAGGTTTTAACCTTTTATCTTTGTATTATAGAAGTCAGAATCATGAAGGAGAGAAAAGTAATCACTACAGGATATTTTTCAAAATGAGTTAATGTAACTTTGCCTCTGGGTCTTTAAACAAAATGTAAATTGACACACAGTACCAGGTATCTTAAAAATACTCCATTTAGGGTAAGGACCATGGTGGCTCATACCTATAATAACAGCGCTTTGGGAGGCTGAGGTGGGGGGATCACTTAAGGCTGGGAGTTTGTGAACAACTTGTGCTACATAGTGAGACTCCTTATCTTAAAAATAATTAAAAAATTAGCTGGGTGTAATGATGCATGCCTATCATTGCCGCTACTCAAGAGGTTGAGGTGGAAGTATTGCTTGAGCCCAGGAATTTGAGGTTACAGTAGGCTATGATCATGCAACTGTACTTTAGCCTGGGTAATGAATAAATAAAAATATGCCGTCTCATTGTTTATATGTTCATATTCTTTGTGTTAACTGTAGTTTAGGGAGAGAAGCAGATAGAATGGGATTAATACTTGATTGGGAAGCCCAAACCTAGTTCTGGCTCTAACAGTAACTTGGTGTGTGGCTTAGAAAAACACTCAGCCTCCTTGAGTTGAGTTTTTTTCTCAATTTTTGGGAGAAGGTTGAATTTATTAGTGAGTGATCTTCAAAGTCCTTGCTACTACAGTATTCCATTTCTGGGTTCAGACACAATGATCTCAAAAGTTGACATTTTGTCTATTGACTGTTTCTAATATTATTTATCCAGAATTACTTTAGCACTAGAATATTGCAGAATATGCTACTCAAAAGTGTTTTTGATTATTTATACCTAGCTGCTTTATTCTGCTCTTGGATTGGCTTTTAGAAAGCATTCAGCAAGGTTTTTAAATGAAGTGAGTATGTAGATTTTAGAAATAAAAATTAAACAGAGGTTCAAGTATATATATTTTTGGCACCATAGCCAACTTTTACAATATCATGTTGAGAGCCTTAATTGTAACCAAATAATGTTTTCCAGTCTGTGTTTAACTATACATCAGCCCAGTGGATGGTTCATAAAGAGTATAATTGACAGCTAGTAAACTCTAGCAAAAATGAATCAGCTTTTAACTTCATATTAAATTATCCTTTTCTAAAAGACTGAAAACTATAATCAATCTCTTTCTGTGTAATTTGCTATAGATGACTACTTTAAGAGAATAACATCCTTTGTTAAAAAGGCTTTTTATACAACTGGCTTGTGGTGTCCCCTCCTCCCACTGAATTAAAGCCTTCAGTCTGCTGTTGTATGCCATGAGCTTTTCACCTGAACATTTTTACAATGAGAGCATAATGAATGTTGGAACTGGTTTAGATTATTTAAAATAGGCTTAGATTAGCTCTCTATTGCTGTTCTTGACCTCCAGGGAGAGAAAAAAACAAGCTTCTTAGTACAGAAATAGAATTTTTATCAAATACTTTAAAGCTTATATTATATTGGTAGATTCTAGACTCCACAGCTCATTTTTTTTCTTTAGTTTACTTATCAGATGAGCACATATGAATACTCTGTCAGTTATGATTTAGCTACAATAGAAACAATAGAAAACATAATCAATAGCTTACATAGAATAATTAGGAGCTTAAAATTGCTTATTTAACCATTTATTAAAAATAATACTAAACTATTGTAGAGTGTTGAAAAATGCATTCAAGTTTGTTTACTTCATGGAATTTATGGAATTATGGTTCAGATGTTTATTATTATTCTTTTTATGGATGCTGTAAAGTTCAACACCAATTCCTCATTTTAAAAAACACACTTCTGCTGCTGATTCTACTTTTATATTTCAACTATTCCCTAAATATGTTCTGGTTCTAGGTAGGGTTAAAACACATGGAACATTCTCTAAGATAGGCCATATAATAGATCACAAAATAAGTCTCAATAAATTTAAGAAAATCAAAATCATATCAAGCATCTTCTCAGACCACAGAGGAATAAAACTGGAAATTAACTTTAAAAAGAACCCTCAAAACTATCAAAATAAATGAAAATTAAATAATCTACTTTTGACTGATCTTTGGGTTAACAATGAACTCAAGATGGATATTAAAAAATTATTTGAACTGAACAATACTACTGACACAACTTATCAAAACTTCTGGGATACAGCAGTTTTGATAGTGTAAGTGTAAGCAGTTTTGAAAGTGGTGCTAAGAGGAAAGTTCATAGCATTAAATGCCTACATTAAAAAGTTTGAAAGAGCACAAATAGATAACCAAATGTTACATTTCAAAGAATTAGAGAAACAAGAACAGAAGAAAAGAAATAACAAATATTAGAAGAAAAGAAATAACAAATTTCTTTTCTTCTAATATTTGTTAGAAGAAATATTCCCAGCAGAAGAAAAGAAATAACAAATATTGGAGCAGAACTAAATACAATTGAAATTTAAAAAGTATAAAAGATAGATCAAACAAAAAGCTGGTTATCTGAAAAGATGAACAAAATTGATATGCCATTACCGAGATTAACCAAGAAAAAGAGAAGATCCAAATAAGCTCAATTAGAAATAAAATAGGAGAAATTACAACCAATATCACAGAAATGCAAAAGATCATTCAAGACTACTATGAATACCTTTGTCTGCACAAACTAGAAGATCTAGAGGAGGTGGATAAATTCCTGGAAATATACAACCCTCCTAGATTAAACCAGGAAGAAATAGAAACTCTGTACAGACCAATAACAAACAGTGAGATTAAATCAGTAATAAAAAAAATTACCAAGAAAAAAGAAGACTAAGACCGTGTGGATTCACAGCTAAATTCTATCAGATAGTCAACAAAAAATTGGTACCAATCCTACTGAAACTATTTCAAAAGATAAAGAAGGAATCCTCCCTAAATCATTCTGTGAAGCCAGTATCATCCTAATACCAAAATCAGGGAAGAACATAACAAAAAAAGAAAGCTACAGACCAATATCCCTGATGAACACCGGTGCAAAAATCCTCAACAAAGTACTAGCTAACCAAATCCAGCAGCATATCAAAAAGATAATACATCATGATCAAGTGGATTTCATACCAGGGATGCAGGGATGGCTTAACATATGTAAATCAATAATTGTGATCCATTACATAAACAGAATTAAAAATCATATGATCATCTTAATAGATGTAAAAAAGCATTTGACAAAATCTGGCATCGTTTTATGATAAAACTCTGCATAAAATTGGTTCAGAAGGAACATAACTCAAAGGAATAAAACCATCTATGTAAAACCCATAGCCAACATCATACTGAATGGGGAAAAGTTGAAAGCATTCCCCCTGAGAACTGGAACAAGACAAGGATGCCCACTTTCACCCCTCCTACTCAACATAGTATTGAAAGTCCTAGCCAGAACAGTTAAACAAGAGAAAAAAATAAAAGGCATCCAAATTGGAAAAGAGGAAGTCAAACTGCTGCTGTTTGCTGATGAAATGATTTTATACCTAGAAGACCCTAAAGATTCATCCTAAAAGCTCCTTGATGTCATAAATGAATTCAGTAAAATTTCGGGATACAAAAATCAGTGTACACAAATCAGTGGCACTGCTATATACCAACAAAAATCAAACTGAGAATAAAATCAAGAATGCAATGCCTTTTACAGCAGCTGCCAATAAAATAAAATACATAGGACTATACTTAACAAAGGAGATGAAATATCTCTAAAAGGAAAACTGCAAACCTCTCAGAGGAAACCACAAGTGACACCAACAAATGGAAACACCCATGATCATGGATGGGAAGAATCAATATTGTGAAAATGACCATACTGCCAAAAGCAATCTACAGATTCAATGCAGTTCCCATCAAAACACTGATAGGGACAGGGGGCAGAGAAACTCCAGGAAGAAAGGGAATGGGGTTCCCTGACAAAACCCCACTGTTAAGCCGAAAAGCCTGAAACTGTGGCCCAAAGTGAGGACTTACATTCCTATTTTTCTGCTTGAATGTTGCCTTTTCCGATGCCACCCGTAGTCCACCCCCCACCCCATCCTGTGCCTATAAAAACCCCAGACTCAACCAGTAGACGGGATTGTGGCTGGATGTCAGAGAGAAGCAGATTGACTTCAGAGGGACAGCTTGATGGTGTTTTGGCGAAGAATCCAGCCAGAGATGACTGGACTTCAGGGGAAGATTACCTACCTGCCTTATCCCCTCTAAGGCTCCCCTTCCCACTGAGAGCCACTTTCATCGGCAATAAAATCCTCTGTATTTACCATGCTTCGGTTCATTCATGTGATCTAATTTTTCTTGGACACTGGACAGAAGTTCAGGAGCCATGAGTGCAGATAGAAAAGACGGTCACACTGGCCCTTTGCCCTCACTGGCAGAGGGCAGCCACCTCAAGCAAAAAGGCAAAGGGCTCACTGAACTGTTAACATTTAAGCCATCTGTGGACAGCAGAGCTAAAAGAGCACTGTAACACACCCTCTGGGGCCTCAGGAATTGCAGGCAGCCCCTCCCGGACCCTCCTGTGGGGCCTGCACAGAGTTTGCTCCTGCCAGCACTATGGTATCCAGCTGGTTCCAGCACCCACTCACCTGTGCATTCCCTCCTGCAAGTGGTGGAACGCAGTGGGTCTGAGTGAATGGAGTTTAATCCCCTTGGTGCTGAAGCAGCTGGCCGGTTCCAGTGCTTGTTCACTCCAGTTCCTGCACCTGTTCACTTGTGCTCCCTCCCATGAGGAGTTCAGAGTGGCGGGCTGAGTAAACAAGGCACCCCTGTTGCAAGTCCCCCAAAGGGAGCAGGGAAATATCCTTCTTTAATACCATTGTCATTCTTCACAGAACTAGAAAAACCAATCCTGAAATTCATATGGAACCATAAAAGAGCCTGAATAGCCAAAACAGTACTAAGCAAAAAGAATAAATCTGGAGGCATCACGTTACCATGCTTAAAATTATACTATAAGACTGTAGTTACCAAAATGGCATGGTACTGGTATAAAAATAGACACATAGACCAATGAAACAGAATAGAGAACTCAGAAATAAAGTCAAATACAGCCAACTGATCAAAAATACAGCCAAGAGAAGGTCAGCATAATACCTTTTTTTTTTTTTTTTGTTTTTTTTTTGAGATGGAGTTTTGCTCTTGTTGCCTAGGCTGGAGTGCAATGGTGTGATCTCGGCTCACTCGGCTGACCGCAACCTCCACCTCCCGGGTTCAAGCCATTCTCCTGCCTCAGCCTCCCAAGTAGCTGGGATTACAGGCGTGCACCACCATGCCCAGCTAATTTTTGTATTTTTAGTAGAGATGGGGTTTCATCATGTTGACCAGGATGGTCTTGATCTCTTGACCATGTCGATCCGCCCGCCTTGGCCTCCCAAAGTGCTGGGATTACAGGTGTGAGGCACCATGCTGGGCCTAGGTCAGCATAATACTTAATGGTAAAATAAGAGAGGCATTCCTACTAAGTTTCCAAACATGGCAAGGATCCCACTATGTTCATTGCTGTTTAATATTACATTGGAGATAATAGCCAATGAAATTGAACAAGGAAAAATAGAGGCTTAAGAATTACACATAAGAAAGTGAAACTACCTCTTTACAGATATATAGAAAATCCAAACAATCAATGAGAAATCACACACAGTAAAATAATTGGATAAGATAGCACAATATAAAATCAACATACAAAAATCAAAAGCTAGGTGCAGTGGTGTGTATCTATAGTCTCAGCTACTCAATAGACTGAGACAGGAGGATCTCTTCATCATAAGAGTTTGAGTCTACCCTGGGTGTGATAGCAAGACCCATCTCTTAAAAAATTAAGGAAACCCCTTAACTTCTGGAGGGCCCACGAGTAGACTTGAACAAATGGGTAGTTTTAATTTGTTGTTGGATAGGACAACTCATCATCAAAAGATACCAGCTATCTTAAAATTAATAAATTTAATTCAATACTAATAAAAGTGGCAAGGTTTTACTTTGAACTTGATTTGATTATAGTATCCACATAGAAAATAAACATACAAAAATATCTAGGAAAACCTGACAGTAGAAGAGTAATGGGGGATTTGCTTATCCAATATCTACCCTCTAGAGCCTCTGCCATGAAATAATAAATTTAATTCAATACTAATAAAAGTGGCAAGGTTTTACTTTGAGCTTGATTTAATTATAATGTCCACATAGAAAATAAACATACAAAAATATCTAGGAAAACCTGACAGTAAGAGTAATGGGGGATTTGCTTTTTCCAATATCTACCCTCTAGAGCCTCTGCCATGAAATAGTGAGGTGCTAGCATACGAACTGGCCGTCAGAGAAAAAAATCAGGAAATAGACCCAAGAACACATGGGAATTCCCTGTAATAAAAGTGACTTCTCAAATCAGTGGGAAATGATAGATTAAAAAAAGAAATTAATAGACTTTTTACCATTGTGGTAAAACCTATGCTACATAATATTTACCATCTTAAATATTTTTTAAGGTATACAGTTCACTAGTGTTTTGTCATATTGTTGTGCAACCATTCTCCAGTTTTCATGTTGCTAACCTGATTCTGTACCATTAAATAACTCCCAGTACCTCCCCATCCCCCAGCCACTGGAAAATATCATTCTACTTTGGGTCTCTTATTTTGACTACTCTAGGTTTCCCATATAAGTAGAATCATACTGTATTTACCTTTTTGTGATTGGCTTTTTCTCTTAGTATAATGTCTGTAAGGTTCATGCATGTAGCATAGAAGAATTTCCTTCCTTTGTAAGGCTGAATAATGTTCCATTGTATGTGTATGTACCACATTTTGTCTGCCCACTTATTTATCAGTGGATTCTTGGATTCCTTCTACTTTTTGGGTATGATGAATGATTCTGCAATGAACATGGGTATATGAATCTCTTAGGACCCTGCTTTGAGTCCTTTTTGACATATACTCAAATGGAATGCTGGATCATAGGGTAATTCTATTTTGAACTTTTTGAGGAACTTCCACATTGTTTATCACAGAGACTATACTATTTTACATTCTCACCAATAGTGTAAAAGCAAGTGATTCTCCTGCCTCAGCCTCCCAAGTAGCTGGGACTACAGGCACATGCCACCACGCGCAGCTAATTTTTGTATTTTTAGCAGAGATGGGGTTTCACTATGTTGACCAGGATGGTCTCGATCTCTTGACCTCATGATCCGCCTGCCTTGGCCTCCCAAAGTGCTGGGATTACAGGTGTGAGCCACTGTGTTTCTCCACAACATCATCAGCACTATTTATTTTCAATTTTTATGATAGTAGCTATTCCAGTGAACTCTTTATTAGATACATGATTTGTAAGTATTTTCTCTCATTTCATGGTTGCCTTTTCACTTTGTTCATTGTGTCCTTTGATACAAAGAAGTTTTATATTTTGATGTAATCTATTTTATCTATTTTTATTGTTACCAGTGATTTTAGTGTCATATCTAAGAAATTAATGCCAAATCCAATGTCATGATGACTGATATAGTTTTAGACCTTTCATATGGGTCTTTGATACATTTTGAGTTAATTTTTGATTATGATATAAGGCAAGATTGAAAATTCATTATTTTTGCATGTGAATATCCAGTTTATTCAGTACGATTTGTTGAAAAGACTGTTCATTTACCATTGAATGTTTTTGTCACCCTTGTCAGAAATTAATCATTTATGCCAGGGTTTACTCCTGGGCTCTCTATTCTGTTCCATTATTCTGTATGTCTGTGTTTATGCCAGTACTACATTGTTTCGGTTTGGTTTTATTTTTTAAGAAGTTTCAAGTTTGCAGAAATAATTGAGTGAAATGTATAGAGTTCCTATATATTCCTTCTCCCCACCAATTTTCCTTTATTTTTAAAATCTTGCATTTGTGTATTGTATTTGTTGTAATGGTATATGCAATACTGATGATAGATAACTGTTAATGAAAATCCATAGTTTACATTAGGATTCACCGTTTGTATTGTATATGCTATGGGTTTTGACAAGTAGGTAAGGACATGTGTCTAGCATTACAGTATCATACAGAAAACAAGTTTTACTGCTATAAAAATCCTCTTTGCTCTGTTTATTCACCCTTTTGTCTCCCTAATCTCTGGCAACCACTAATCTGTTTTCTGTCTCTTTAGTTTTGGCTTTTCCAGAACATCATATTGTTGGAATAATACAGTATATACTCTTTTCATATTGGCTTCCTTCACTGAGTAATAAGCATCTAAGGTTCCTTTATGTCTTTTGGTGGCTTGATGGCCCATTTGTTTTTATTTGAAAAGATAGACTTTTAAAAAGTTGTGTTGGAAAACCTAGATAATCATTTATTAAATATAAAGTAGGTCACATACTGTATACTGCACACCATCATAAACTCCAGATGGGTCAGACATCTAATTGTAGAATAAAAGAAAAGAAAAATCAAGAAAAAGAGTGCAGCCAGATAAATACTAAAATAAAACATGGGTAAATTCACTTATAAATTGGTTATAAAGAAAGCCTTTGAAACCTAGATGTAATAAAAGAAAAGACTGACCAGTTTGCCATTAACAACATAAAAACTTTAAAGAAAAAGTTGTATGAAGAAAAAGACCATAAGCAAAACCAAAAGATGAATCATAAATTGGGAAAAAATATTTGTAACGCATCATATGTAAGGGGATAATCTACCTAATATTAAAGGATTCTTAAAACTCAAAGAAAACAGGAGAAACTCAAGAGACAAAGGGATAAGAGACAGGGACGGAGAGTTCATGTAAATTGGTATGCAAATGGCTTTTAGACCTATGTGAAGATGTTCAAGTTCACTCATAATAGGAGAAATGCCAATTAAAATGGCACTGTGTAATCGAACTCAAGTCTGGACCACTTGAAAGCCAAACACTCAAGAGACAAGTTTTGGTGAAAAGAAAGGTAGTTTTTTTTTTCAAGAAGCCACCAACTCCGGGAAGTCAGTGAACTGGCATTCGAAGACTGCCTTTCCAAGTTGTGCTTCTAGATCAAGAGTTTTTAGGGGAAATAGGGGAAGTGATGATCAAAGCATTCGGTGAAT